TTTCTCTATAAAGACAACCTCAAACGCGTGTGTTTGGGGGAGAGAACAACTTTTTCCTCGTACGATCAAGCAATACAACATACTTTTTCTTTTACAATTTTGCAAAGCTTTTTACTATTTTATTCTTTCCAAGTTCTTTCGCTTTATTTAGTTTCTTGGTTACTTCCCTTTTCAATTCCATATTTTCATTTGTTTATTTTAGAGTTTTTCTCCACAAAAATACTTAAAGAAAATCGAGTGTGAATCCTACATCCACAGGTTACAATTTGACTGAAACGGCTTGAATTTGAACTATCTTGGGCTTCGCGTGGATCTTCCGAACTCTTTCTTGTTGACTCCGAACTCCTGCGTCTTGACGCTGCCGCGAACCTCGAACAATATTCTCCTCGCTTCGGCCTTCTTTTATGCGAACTATATGTTGAATAAGAGCAAACTCTGTACTGGTAAAGATCGAGCTCTTTAATAAACTGAATCGAACTTCCGACAGGTCGAGCTCGATTCTCGCAATGAAACATCTAGAAATCCAAGAGGATTATTATGTAATAATGACGTGGACAGATCCAAGTGGATCCTACCGAAAATGTGTGGGATCCGACCCCAACATTTAGCCCCCTAAGTCTTGCGAGCTGAGTGCTCGGCTTGTAAGACTTAAGTAAACAGTAATTAATGACTCGAGATCTTTAACATTCTGCACTTATTCCATGTTTTATGCTGTTACGCTGATCTCGGATAATCAGATCATTTGATTTCCCTGACAACCGTCATCATTAATTTCTTAATTTTATATTAATACCACGGGGAAAACTGTCCCACTTCCCAATATTCTCGAGGCGGTTTTCACTAAATAGGGTTCAATGGAACGACGACTTTTACAGCGTACATTCACCCCTGAAAGCTTTTACCAAACCAGAGAAAGAAAAAACTCCTTAGTAAAAAATGTCTTCCCCGGCCGTCTACGTTTCAGACAACGAAGACGATAGTCAAGGAATCCCTGTTCCCAGAGGGGACGAAGATTTTACCCAAGCGGGAGATAAATTTGGTCCGCATTTCAGGTCCCAATCGACCCATGCTTCCCTTGGCGCCGTTCGTCGCCTTTGTATCATTCCCCAGGAAATAGAATTCTCTCTTCCTGGACCAAATGAGTCTCCAGAAATGGTGCGAGAGGGTTACTGTTGCACGTACAAAGTCTATTTCAAGGGTTGTGGTTTATTTTTTCCTATCCCGGAAGTTCTCATTTTGTATCTCCTACATCTAGGGATCGCTTTTTCCAAATGGCTCCCAACTTCCTTAGGTACGTCCTGAGTACCCTGACCGTTTCGGCGGAGGCAGGGTGTTCTCTCACCATCAGCGAACTCTTAGGGCTATTTCGAGCCCGTGATTCTGCGGCAGCGGGTATTTTTCCATGAATCCTATTTTTGACCGTAACCTTATCGACGGAATGCCCCTAAATGATGGGCCTTGGAGGAAATACTGGTTCTTTTTCCGAGTTAATCCTCATTCCGTTCAAGGGCTTTCCGGTTTTCTTCTCCCAAATTGGTCGTCCAAACTTGGTTAGAATCATTCTTTATTATCTTTCTACTACATTGTGTGAAAGAAACGGAATTCTTAACTCAATGTTTTATTTCAGGGAACCAAACTATCCCCCGTCCAACTGTTGACTTCTTATCTTTCTTCCGAATCGTTTCCGAGGGTGACACAAATTGGAATTCTTTCACCCTTCAACGTATTCATAAAGCGGGGCTCGCTATTAAGGATGGTAAAACTCACCCTCTTGACCCTCCTCCTGAAGAGAAAGATGTTTCGAGCCTGAATGCTCGAGATAAAAGAAAAAATCCAGGCTGAGATTAAGGCTCTTAAGGATCAATTATCCAAAATTGGGAAATAGAAGCGGATAGCTGCAATCTCCAAGGTTGGTAGCTTCCACAGGAAGACTCTCTTAGTTGATGACGGTTCCTTAGAAGTGGCTTTGTCAAGTGCGGTGGATTCTTATGGAGCCGATATCCCTAACGACCCCCCAGTTGCCACCGCCATTTGCTCTTCCGCACAAGAGAGGGAGAGAGAAGAAACTCCTCCTCTTTGCACAAAGAGGAAGGTTCCAGACTCGGATACTTTATCAAACGAGAGACTCAAAACCGTTAGATTAAGTTCTCCGCCACGAGCCCCTCGCTTTCTGCATTCTGTTTTCCCCTCTATTGAGCCTTCAGACTCTGAGCTCCCTTTTTCGGGAGACAGAGCAATTCCAGAAGAAATCGATGAGCCGAGACCTGAGACTTCCCTGTCCCAAGGACTGAGTGTTAGGACTCAAAGCCCTTTAACCGCTTCGATTTCTGGTAACACTAGAAGAAATATGAACATTGATAGCACATTACGATAGCGCAGTTTTCGTAACTGCTATTAAAGATAAAATTCGGAATTCAGTTACTATATTATAGCATTTCAAAAATGCTAAACCGAAAAATAACTAAGCGGAAAGTGAAAATTCACTTGAGTATCCTATGACCGCCAATATTTAGTAAAAAATCACACATAGCGCTAATACTAAAATCACTTAACCAAAAAATAAGAAGAAAAACCCTAAAATTACTTAACCAAAATCGTTTACTTAGGCAAAATCACTATTCTCTCTTTTTCTTCTCGTTCATCTTTCTCTTTTTCTCTTGGTCGCATCCCCTTAATCGATTCTCATCTCATGGCTACAGTTACTCCTCCTGCTAGGTGATAGAGTATACCTCCTACCTCAAACCCTAATGTCGTCAAGCCCATAGAGATTCGATTTGAAAATGGCGAACATTTCTGTTTCCTTTCCAGATCTAAGTAGGTTTACTCTCTCACTCGATCTTCTGATTAATTTAAGTCCGATAGCGAGATTTGCTTATCCTTTGTTTTGATTCTCCTTTTCGGTCTCTTTAATTCCTTTTGGTTGTTACCTATTGGAGTGTGGTTATCCCCGGTTTAGTTTAATTTATCTTGGTTATGTTAACTGAGATTGTATAGCTTTAGTATACTTGTATAAATACTCTGTACAGATACATTTTACAATCTAATGAGAAATAAATATTCATAAAAAATTTTCTCATCTTCTTCTCTCTCAAGTAATATGGTATCAGAGCCCAAGGTTGGCCCAACAAACAAATTCCCACACAAATGGTTTCCCACCTATGTGGCCCATATAAGTGGCATGTCTTGTTGTATTTCCGAGATGTTGGGCTTGGGCTGTTCCCGTTGGGCCGTTTCCCACCCACATCTCGAGGAGGCCTATTAGAATGTCCCACATTGCTTGGGATTAAGATCTTTGGGTAGTATATAAAGGATGTGGCAATCCTTAACTCTTGAGCTAGCTTTTGGGTTAAGTTAGGTCACATTCCTAATATGGTATCAGAGCCATCAAGCTCGAATCTCCATTGATTTCGATTTGATTTCATCGTTTTTGAGCTCAAAAATCATCATCTACAATGGTGACAGCTCGTGTTATTCGGAAATCCACTCGATCGAAGTTTGGAACAAGCTCAGCTACTCGAAAAACGTCGCGATCGTCTGATGTTGTTGAATCTCCTCCGCCTACTCCTCCAGTTGCTAAATCTCGAGCTTCTGGAGCTTCGCGCACCGTCGCATCATCGGAATACTCAGATCAGGCGTATTCTCCTTTCTTCCTTCACAGTGCCGATCATCAAGGTTTGGTTTTAGTCGCGATTCGTTTAGATGGAACTAACTATGATGATTGGGATGCTGCGATGCGTATTGCTTTAGATTCAAAAGGGAAAATAGGATTTATAGATGGATCCTTAGCTCGTCCTAATGAATCGGATGCAAATTTTCCTATCTAGTCTAGATGCAACAGTATGATAAAGTCTTGGCTCTTGAATTCGGTTTCTCTACAGATCTATCGCAGTATCTTGAGATTGAAGGATGCTTGTGATATTTGGCATGATCTGTATAGCCGATTTCATATGAGTAATCTTCCAAGAACTTTTAATCTCACACAAGAGATTCAAGATCTTCGTCAAGGATCTATGACTTTGATGGAGTACTATACGACTTTGAAGACTTTATGGAGCAATTTGGAGAATAGTGAAGAACTTGATGAACCTTGTACCTGTGGTAAAGCTGCTCGTCTGCAATTGAAGGCAGAGAGAGCTAAAATTGTTAAGTTTTTTGCAGGACTTAATGATTCCTATGCTATCATTAGGAGGCAGATTATCATGAAGAAGGTTCTCCCTAGCCTTGCTGAAGTCTATAATATTCTTGATCAGGATGATAGTCAGAAAGGATTTTCAACTCTGACTGTTACTCCTGCTGCTTTTCAAGTCTCAGAAGTTGAGATTTCCTCTGGACAAGATCGCACAATTTGTTATGTACAGACTGGTCCAAACAAAGGAAGACCTATCTGTTCTTATTGTAATCGTGTAGGACACATTGCAGAGAGATGCTATAAAAAAGCATGGATTTCCCCCTGGTTTTACACCTAAGGGTAGAGTTTTTGATAAGTCTGGTGCAGGTAAACCAAAGCCTATTGCTGCTCAAGTGACTTTGGCTACTCCACCAGATGAAGAATCTCAGAATGTGGAAAGTATGATTGGAAATTTAAGCAAAGATCAGAT